TGGAAGCCCGGAAATGGCCCAAAATGGCCACGCGCAGCGTTTTCGCGCCCTCGTTAAGCGAGGCGAGGGCGTGAAAATGGCTGCCGGCCATTACGAAGCTTCGCTGAACGGTATTTGGCCCATTTGGAATGCATTAAACCATGTTTAATGCGTTCCAATGGAAATCCCTGCCCCGTTCAACGATGCTTCAGCATAGCGAAGGTTAATCCGGAACGGATTAACCTCGCTATGCGAGGCACCACTGTATATCTTTGACAGTGTGGTGTTTATACTGTAGTTGGTAAAGTTTTTTTTTTTAAAAAAAACAACCATTTTATTAATTTTTCAATCTACAGTATCTACATTTAATCATGCTTGTTAAACATCATGTTACATGGGCTGCTTACAATCATTTGTTCTTTGCTTCTTGGTGTCTTCTCAGTTTTCTCTTCAAAATCTATACAGTACATTGTTTAGCCATTTCTATCTCCATGTTTTCTATCATGTCTATATCAACATTGTATCTAACATAAGTACTATTTGTTTTGCCCCATATTTATATCTAACTTCAGTTTACCTTAAAAGCCACCATGTTACACCTTTACCCTGATTAATGATCCCTTATTTCAGTTTAATTCCCTTTTAAAATATATAAAATATGCCCCTTTACAATTCCAGAAGTTAAGTATATACACGCTTTTAACAATGAGACTACCTTAATATTTTCCCTTTTCCAACTTTTCTAAGTGATTCCTTCTCTTATTTGAATTTTCCCAATTCTTGTTTCTATCTTCCTAAATATTCTGCCGTCCCTTGTGTAAACTGAAAGCATTTTTTTCACGTGATCAATCTCCAATAGATCTTTATACATTTGATCTATCTCCAATAGGTCTTCCAGGCTATTTTTAATTAGTGCTGCTGGTCGTCCCGCCCGCCCCATCTTCCCTTAACACAGCTAAGATTCGTGCTGCTGGTCCCCCCCCAACTTCCCTTAACACAGCTAAGATTCTCCGTCGCTCTCCTGAATTTCCCCCTCTGATTTCCTCCAGTCCTTCTTTTCTTTGGCATACATCGTCCTTAACCTTCACATTTCTTTGATTGATCTTTTCTGTCTCTTGTTGAATACAGTCCTTCTTTAGTTGTTCCATGAACAATTGCATGTCTTGGTTCTGGGATCTCACTATTTCTAAGATTGCTTGCAGGGTAGATTTTGTTTCCTCCCAAAATTTCCCTTGTTGTGACATTATGTGCTCAGATGCCAGGTACTTGTATTTCAACTGAAAAATGTCTAGTAGCTTAGAGCTGTCAGTCCAGTTCCATCAATCGTTGCTTCAGTAGGTTGATCACCTTTAAGGTTAATTGAATCCAATTCCTGACGTAGTTTGGCAGTCTCGTTCACTTGATGTTTGTATTAGACTTTCCAAAGTTAATTGTCTATGTTTTAGTCAATTTCTCAGAAGGAGAAGAAACCGGAATGACAAAACAGAGTTTCAGATCAGGTTTCTAGCCTTTTTCAAGGTCATGTTTCTAGGCTGTTTGCCAACACTGTAGATAGACATTACTATGAGCGTTGTTTGCAATAACAATTTTAAGAGGAAGATTTCTTAAGTTTAACACCAAAGTAAATCAGAACTTCTTTCCTTGAAGTATAATTGTTTTAACACCAAAGTAAATCAGAACTTTCCTTGAAGTATAATTGTTTAATTAATGTCTGATTTCTTTTCTTTTCTTTTCTTTGCGTCTCTTTCTCCTTTTCCCGGTCCACCGCTGCTTAATTTAGAGTTGGGGCTAAGAAACCCTCTTTTTTTCTTGTTAAAGGGATTATTCTTTACAGGGATAGTTAGAGAGTTGTATAATTAAGCTTTTGTATCTCACCCAATATTAACAACGTTTAATTTGGCTGGTTTATTGCTTCTTCTTTTGCCAGCTGCCAACAATTCGCAAGCAGGCTTATTCAGCTGCTTGTTTCTGCCCGCTGATTGATTGGGGAGTTTCCTGGATCAAACATGGGTAACCGCCCCCCCCTCCCTGATCAACAGCCTTCTCCCCCATTTCACCACCTCTTTGGGGTGGTTTTAACTCCCTGGGGTGTCTCAAACAGGTCCAAATTCAGCCCAGGAGATGGAGCTCTGACCTCCTGCTGCTGTCTCATCACAGTGTCAAGTAGCTCTGACTTCCTGCTGCTGTCTCATCACAACGTCAAGCCAGACGTTGATTTTAAACAATTTAATAATATTTTGAAAAAATCTTTGCTATGGTCTTGTAGTAAAATTCTAAGACAGATGTACGTCAAAATACCATGTTGTAGTAAAGTTCAAAGACAGATGTACGTCAAAATACCATGTTGGGTAACACCAGTGGAGGCATTTTCTCTTCTGAACTTGAGAGAAAACAAGAAAAGCTTAAGATACAGAGAAGTATTAAAACTGGATGGAACACTGAAAAACAAAGATCAATTAGTAGCACAGGGAACTGATATGGATTGGTGGTCATATTCTCAATTAATTTCATGATATGGTAAAGATAAGCAACAAGGTTTCTATGTAGACAATAGTCCCTTTGACAGAATCCTCCTGGATACCAAAGACAAGATCTATATATTAAAGGTCTATATAATTTTCTATTAGACTTTGATACCCGGGAGGAGGTGGTTAAGGAACATATGTTAAGGTGGTCACAGAATAGATGGCTAAGATGACTGTGCAGGAAGGTACTGCAGCTAAATGCTGTCTTGGTTGGTGGAAGGAATGGTTGAGTTTGGGTGTGCTTTTATGTGTCTTTTTGCTTGTTACGAACACATTCGGAGAGGTGAAAGGATCCTAGGCAAGCTCTGTTATAACTTGGAACAAAATGTGAAAAGGCTATTGCAGAGGATTTTTATTTGTTCTCACAACATTCTGGAGGATGTAGCATGCCCACAGGTCCAGTGGGAAGGAGGTGAAGGTGGTGGAAAGACTGAAGGAGAAACAAAGGTTGTCATGCTGGTGTTTTGGTAAAGTTGAGTAAATCTCCACACAAGCCTCTAATTACAAGCATTTTTCTTACCAACACGGGATCGCTTGCTAACAAAATGGATAAATTAAGGCTGCAGATTGTAAAAAGCAAACTTTACTAAATTAATGACTGTTTTGCTAATCACAGAAACCTGGTTTCACTCTTCTATCCCAGACACAATGGTTAAGCTGGAGGGCTATATAGCTCACCGACAAGACAGGAGCAGGGATACTGAGCAGAGGAGGGGGTTTAAGAGCAAAGGAGGGGGTTTAAGTCTTTACATGAACAAAAGCCGGTGCACAAATACAAAGATTGTAGATAGCCATTGCTCTAAGGAGTTGGAGTATATGACTGTTAGATACAGACCAGTATATCTTCTACGGGAATTTAACATGATCTTGATTACTGCAGTCTATATTCCATCTATACTAACACCAGTGTAGCTTCGGGACTCTTGTATAATATGGTGGACAATCAGCAGAATAGGAATCCTGATGCTGCATTCATTATGGCAGGGGATTTCAACCACATCGAATTAAAGACTGTGTTACCTAACTTTTTACCAGCATGTTAAATGTGTCACCACAGGAGTGAATACACTAGACAAAGTATATACCTATATTAAGCATGGCTATAGGTCTATACAATTACCACACTTAGGACATTTGGATCATATGTCACTGTTTTTGGCACCAGCGTACATTCCTCTTAGAAAACAGACTTTGCCTATAAAAAAGACAGTGAAATCTTGGGGCCTAAAGATGCCTCATAGTAACTTCAGGACTGTTTTGAAAAAACAAATTGGGACAGTTTCTATCATCTGGACCTGGAGGAGTACACCGCAGTTGTTCTATGCTATATTAAATATTGCATAGATACTGTTACTGTGGATAAAGACATATGGATCTATCCCAATCGATAGCCCTGTATGACCAGGGAAGTCCAGTATGCCTTTTGTGTGGGAAAGGAACAACGCCTTCAGCTCTGGTGATGGGGAAAGATATAGTGCTGTGAGAGCCGGGCTGAAGAGAGGCATTTGGCAAAGGAGATTATAAGAGGAAAATTGAAGAGCAGTTTCACAATAACAATGTGAGGCAAGTGTGGCAGGGGTTTCAGCAAATACATAACTCATTATAAATCAAACAATGTCATTTCTGCAGAGGGGGAAGCTTCATTGGCCGAGGAATTGAATCATTTCTTCACTCATTTTGAAGTGGGACTACCAGAGGCAGCAAAAAGACAGCCACTAGTTCACAGCAACGTCTGTGTCACTGTGGAGGAGCATAGGGTAAGGAATGTTCTGAGGGTTGTGGAACCTAGAACGCCTACAGGACCCAATGGCATTCCTGGTCGTGTGCTCAAAGGTTGTGCTGATCAGCTGGCTGGGGTTTTCACCAAGATCTTCAACAGATCTTTATCACAGTCTATTATTCCACCCTGTTTGAAGGCCTCCATTATTGTTCCACCGCCAAAGAAGAACCCTATTAACAACCTCAGTGATTATAGACCAATGGCACTTATGTCTAACATCATGAAATGCTTTGAAAAGTTGGTAAGCAAGCATATTATCTCTAGTCTTTCACCTAAAATGGATAAATATCAGTTTGCATACAGATCTAACAGATCTACGGAGGATGCCATAGCTATTGCTCTCCACACTGCCTTGACCCATTTAGAATAGTGAGGGACCTATGTGATGATGCTTTTTGTGGACTTTAGTTCTGCGTTTAACACAATCCTTCCACATAGATTGGTGTCCAAGCTCACAGAGCTTGGGTTTTCACGTTCAATTGTTCTTGGAGTATGGATTTTCTATCTGGTCATTCCCAGAGGGTTAGATTGGGGAATTATACCTCCTTAGCTCTCATTATTAACACTGGAATACCACAAGGATGTGTGTTGAACCCTTTACTTTACTCGTTGTATACATATGATTGGTGGTATACTACGATCCAGGTACAGTGGACCCTTGACTTACAGACGGCTTGACTTACAGACTTTTTGAGTTACAGACTTCTCTGGCCGCAAAATTTAGGTTTGACTTGCAGACTGAGATTTGAGTTGCAGACCAGAAAGAAACCAAAATGGAACAAAAACGGCCTGTTACGGGATTAATCGGTTTTCAATGCACTGTAGGTCAATGGAGACTTGATTTACAGACTTTTTGACTTGAGAACCGCCTTCCAATATGGATTAAGTTCTCAAGTCAAGACCCCACTGTATAGCTACATAGTATAGCTTTTGTCCTTTTCAGGAGGTGGGTGATTATAGTGATCAGCATGGTTTTTTGCTGTAGGTTTATTGTGATTATCTGTCACTGTGACTGATGGGTGTCGTTAGCTGTTTTTTGTGTGCAGTGAGTGATCTTTGGTCCTTGCGGCTGGGTAGAGTTCGTTGACCTTTTGCAGGGTGTATTTTTCAGTGCTCGGAGCACTTTATTTAGTTTTAAACTTTCTTTTTTGTTGAAACTGTGCTGGTGTTTGCAGGTTTCAATGGCTTCCCTGTGCAGTCTAACATAATGATTGCTGGTGTTGTCCAGTACTTCACATTACTGAAACAGCGATGTCGTTATACAGTAAACCTTTATTGGCATAAAACAGTGTGGACAGGGAAATAAATAGGAAAAATAATTGCAGGGCGAATAGACATAGTCATTATTGATGAGGAGGTACAAAATGGTAAGTAATACAGAGTACCCAGGGAGTGGGGTGAAGGAAAGTTCTATGTTATAAGGCAACAGTGAGTTTCATAATTTCAGTTAGATCGTTTACCACCACCTCGATGAGGGGAGCACAGCGGTCACTCAAAAAAACAGGGAGAAGATCAGTACAAAAATCTGAAAAAGGAATCAGCCAATGATCTAAGAAAAGTTTCCAAAGGGAGTGATGTGCTGGACATCTGAATAAAATATGATCTAAAGTTTTAGGCAGCAAGTGATAGAAAAGGCAAAGTCTTTTGCCTTTAGGGGTTTTGGAGAAATGGCCATAATGCATGGCCGACGGGAAGATGTTAAACCATGCTAGCATGAAAGCTCTCTGCCATGTAGGATTAATCAGTAGGTTGAAATATTTAAAGGATATTCTAAAGAAGGGGATAAACCAAAAATTTTTTGGAGAACAAGAAGGATTAAGGAGATCTCTTAGATGTTCAAACTCCCATTGATATAACTTGGCTATAATATGGGAGTGGGCAACAGTGTCCTAACCTATGGCATTCTGGCAAGTAAGTACAAGGATGATTTAAAGCCACTTTCCCACAGTACAGCTCCTGTGGGGGAGGCGGCTAGAAACGGCACCTATGTGGAAGTCATTGTAACAGGCTGCTTCATTCATACTTGGCAACTCCTGTCCCTATCAGCAAACTCCCTTCATGAATGCTTTGTGAAGGAAGAGTCAGCCCACTTGATCAGCTGAACGGTGGGAAACGACTTGAGAGTGAGAATCCTTTCGTTTACCTATACATAAGAAACACATGCTGTATATGGGGAACTTGCAACACTTCAGCTGTCTTGGACTACAACTCTTATCATCTAGGACCATTGTGGATAAGGGGAGTTGTAGTCCAGACACAGGATCACCAAGCCCCCTGGAATGAAAAATTCATCTGTAAGCTCCACAGCTTTGGGATGAATGCAGAGAGATGCCTATAATTTATACTGTGTAGTGGTTATAGTGAAGAACAATGCCTGACAGACTTGAGTTAAAATCCTCACTTGGTCGTGAAACTCAATGAGAATTTAAGGCCAGTCACACTTACCCGACTTGACCTACCTTGCAGGGTTATTGTGGAGATAGAAATGGATAAGATAAGGTAAGGTAAGATTTCTGGTGGTGCTCCACGTTCTGTTCCATCCTGATATCAGACCACTCACACATGCATTCTGGTTACAATTAAAAAAAAAACACATTGTGGTGAGATGAGTATATATAGCAAGCATAACAGGTCTCTCACGATTTTTCAAAACTTTGTCCTTTTATGCAGATGCTGCATACATGTTCAGTTAGAAATCACCCATAGGCAGTTCAATCATATGGATCAATTCAAAGTCAGCAACAGGTATCCCTGGTGGTTGAGCAACCATGTCCATATGGTGTAATGATAAGACTGTCCTACTATCGTAGCACCATTGAGGGTATCCTAACCTATGGCATTCTTGTATGGCTTGGGAGTAGCTCTGTAGCGGACAAAAAAAAAAAATCTCTACAGAGAACCATTACAACTGCCCAGAATATCATCGGGCTCCAGCTACCAACCCTGGATGACATCTTCACATCCCGCTGTCTGTGGAAATCACATATCCTGAGAGACTCTTCCCATCCTGCTTACAACTTTTTTGAACTGTTCCCATCTGGCAGAAGATATAGAACAATTAAGACTCGGACCACACGTTTTCTGAATAGTTTTTATCCCAGAACTATAATTGCACTTAATAATGAGTTTAAAGACCACCACTAGGGAATAGTTGGACAGTGTTACTTGGCCTGCGGTGTAGATGTTTGTATTCTTAGTGGGGGATTTTAGTGGGTGGGGAGTGTTTGGGGACTTTTTAATATGTGTGAATGTGGGTCTGATCTCTGGGTGTCTGTGTGAATTTCATTGTTTGGATATACTTTGTATATACTTACAATGACAATAAATAAATAAATAAATAAATAAATAAATAAATAAATAAATCAAAGAGTGATTCTAATAGGATATCAATGGATAGCAGTGGATAAGTTGTATCCATTTAGGGGAGTAGGAATCTTTTAACAAAGCATATAGTAATGAATCTAGGGGTCTTGTTAAAAACAAGTAAAGCCAATATTTGAAGGTGAGAGTCCAAGCCAGGGTTGAGGGAAGATTGGTCCCTAATTCAAGTAGGATAGAGGCAAGTCAGATGGAATTTGGGAGAACAAGTATCTTCCTAAAGAAGGAAGCCGCAGTCAAGTTCAGAGTGAGCTGATGCAATCTAAACAGGAACTCCATATAATAATTGTGAGAGAATTTTGATTTGAAATATATGGAGAGCAGGTGCAATGAATTGATTGCCGGCAGAAAAGTGAAACTTGGCAATTGCCTTTAGGCTCTGAGATGTGGATGAAATGACTGCTTTTTTATGAGGAGACCAGTTTAGTTTGTAGTGTAGGAGGATCCCTAAATACTTAAAGCTTTGTACTTGATTATAGGAATGGGGGCCAATTGACCAGAGAGAGGGGGACCAGTGTTTAGAGAAAACGATAATTTTTATCTTGTCTGAATTGATGGTAAGATGACTTAGCAAGCAGTATTGTTGTAAATAGGTAAGGGAACAACGTAACTCTGATTCAGTGAGAGAAAGTAAGTCCATATTATCATCATAAATGAGGACAGGAAGAGGGCACCCATTAAGGGCTGGAGGAGAATTATCAGAGTTTAAAAGAAAAGAAGGGAAGTCAGCTAGGAAAAGGTTAAAAAAGCAAGGGGGCAAGAATACATTCTTGGCATAGACCATTAAGAACAGGAATCCTAGCAGTTAGGACATCTGAGTTAGGAAGATGGACTTGGCTGAAGTTAAGACTATGAAGACGGCGAAGCAAAAACAAAAGGCGAGGGTCAATTCCCCATTTGGAGAGCTTTTCCCGTAGTAGATTTCTATTAATGGAATCAGAAGTGCCCTTAAGATCAACAAAGGCAATATAGAGGTTGGATTGATGGTGGATAGAATATTTTTCAGCTAAAAAGGTTAATAAGAAAACATGATCTGTAGTGGACGCACCAGCACAAAAGCCAATTTGTTCCATTCCAGGGAGATTTTGAGATTGCGCCCAAGATAGGAGTTTGGTAAGAAGGAGTTTGGAGTACAATTTACCAATATTAGAAAGAAGACTTATCGGCCTATAATTACCAGGGTGGGAGGCATCACCTTTTTTTTGTAAATGGGAATTATGACAGAAGATAGCCAGGTTTCAGGGAATTTGCCAGTACTGTTAACTAGCGTGAAAAGCTTAGCAAGGGGCTCAGCCCACCAATGAGGGTTGAAAGTCAAGATCTCAGAGAGAAAATTATCTGGGCCCGGGGCTTTATCAGATTTCAAAGTATTGATGAGCTCTAAAACTTGATCAGTGGTGACAGGGGGCCGTCGGGGAGATTAAAGGGATTCAATGAAATGGAAGGAGGGAGGAGGGAACTTTTAAATAGCCCTGTAAAATGATCAATCCAGGTTT